AAACCCAGGCTCGTGGGTAGCCTGCGATGAACCCAGCTTGCGGGTTCACGAAGAACCCAGGCTCCTGGGTAGCCTGGGTTCGCCTGGGGGGTAAAAGGAAAGGAAAAAAAGAAAAAAAAAAAAGGCCGGAGGAAGTGGAGTCCATGTGGATGGTGACGTGGAGTCCATGTAAGCATCTTTTACATGTTGGCATATCCACATCAGCTGTTTCAGTTAAGTTAACGTGACACGTGAGCAAAAATTAACAGAGGGACCAAAAAGGGGTCGGATTTGTGAACAGTAAGGACTAAAAAAGGGATTTTTTCGCTACAGGGATCAAAAAGGGGCTTTTTCCTATAGTAGAGGGACCAAAAAGGGTATTTAACCAATACTTTTTCATTCCTAGCTAACCAAATTGACCATACAATAGAGAACCAGATGCACTCCCACCCTTTCTTTTCCCCTTTAGTTTTAATCAAATTTGGATGTTGTTCTAGCACCGTACCGCAGTCCTTATCTAGTGCAGTTTTTACTCCCCACCATTTAAAACATGCATTCCATATGCTATAAGCTACTTTGCAATGAATGAACAAATGGCTGGTATCCTCCAATGCCACTCCACAAAAGACACATTTGCATTCTCCAATATCTCGTATGATCCCCCTTTTTAACAAATTGAGTTTTGTTGGTATTTTGTCTTGCAACACTTGCCATGAGAAAGCCGCGATCTTGTTGGGGATAAACACATTCCAGGCTTTGTGAAGCACTGCTCCTTGCTGATTTGAACTATTCTCCTTTGTCAGAATTTGGTAAGCTGTCCTCGTTGTGTATCTCCCCTTGTTGTTGTGGACTCACTCCCTCAAGTCTGGTTTTCCTCTTGTGATTTTAATTTCTTGGATCTCCTTTTGCAGCTCTTCCTCCTGTTGCTTTTCCCAGCTATGCAAGCACCTTCTCCACTGTAAGTTCCATTTCCAAGCTCCATTGATCCAATTCCCCATTTGTGAAATTTGATTATTTCTTCTTGTTGACAATGAATAAAGCCTTGGGTATTTGTTAGCAAAACTCTCCCCCTCTTTCCAGTTGTCCCCCTAGAATTTTACATCTACTCCTTCACCCACGTTCAGTTTCAATCCTTCTTCTAGCCACCCCCTATTCTCCTCATCAATAACATTAAGCCCGCATATATCCTTCCACCATATTGACCCCCTGCTATTGCCATCTCTTACCCAGTTAAATCTAGACTCTCCCTCCTTCCCATATTTTT